CTGCATTGGAGGAAACTTGGTTGACTTGAGGTACGCAGACGATATAGTTCTATCAGGTGAAGTTGACAAAAGTCATCCTTCTTAACGCCTTGGGAATGAATCCATGTTTCCCATCTGCAAAAAGTAAGATGATGCTTCATGATTAATCTGCAATCATTCTCAATTCAGTAATAGTGAGTGAAGTAGCAGAAAACGCCGACCACTTTACTGAATTGGGTATTTCCATCAGCCCAAAGGCGTCAGTTAATGACGAAAGTACAGCTTGGACACAAGTCATGCTTGACACGGGTCAGCTTACCTCGTCTACAGCGCCGTCGAGATATTCGATTATCTGTTAAAGGACGAATGCACTGCGCTACAAACCGCTGTCTTCTCACACGGCTATGAAACATGGCCACTGAATTAAATGAAGGATTCATAGTTTTCTGATCGTGTCTTCATAGTATCGCTCGCGTATGATGAGATCACCATGTTGACAGCGCTGAGGTTAGGCGAAACGTACTAGGCAAGACAACCAAATCAGTCGATGAGGTTGTAGAACTTCAGAGACTTGGGTGACTGGTACATATGTTGCTCGCGCCCAGTCACCAGCTGCCTCAACGTACAATCTCGACAGAAGTTCGATTGGCTTGGAAGAAAGCTCAGAGTGGCCAGACCAAGACATGATACCTGTCCATGAAGCCGCTGACTTCTAGTCTGAGTTATGCAAGGAGGACTAGACTAGATGACTGGGTACCTGAGAAGATAAGAATCAACGGTTAAAGACTCTTGGTTAAATGGCTGAAAATTGATCAAAACGGCACAGATTTATTAACTCCTTGACACCTTCTCAAGCTTGAACACTCACTAATCTTCACATTAAAATTGTTCCCTCTCCCACCCACTTTGTATACTTTGATATCACTCTTTCTCTGTCCATTTTTTCTTTGCGTGTTACTTTGAAGTGTGATAATTTAAACAGATTCACTCATATGTGAGGTTTTATGTTGACTTTATCTGTTTGAGATTCTGTATCAAAGAGTCTTCCATGTACAATTTGAAAACACCCTCACCACGGCCAGTTGAAGCTGTACAGTTAGCCTCCTGTCTAATTTGTCAGAAGACGAAGTACTTGTGTCCTCAACCCTACTTCCTTTTATTGGTTAGCTCTTTCAACATAATTTAACGATAGTGTTTTCCGAATTCTTCCTAATTCTAAACCTTTAGTTGTTGTGTTAAATGTAGGTAAATTGAGATTAACCCTAACGAAACGATCACCGTTCTAATTCATTATTATTACTCGCCTGGTTCACTAGTTACTAGTCGGTCCTAAGCCCGGGTAAAGAGGGAAGATTGGGCATAGGGCCAGCAACCCTACCCCATAAAACAAATCCAACTGCTAAACAAACTTCAAAGCACAAACAAAATATAACAAATTATTCCTCGCTGGAATCGGAGAGGCGAAATGACGCCGGTTGGTGAAAGCCTTCAGGAAGCCAATTGGCCGATGTGTCTTCTCTCCCTGGATGAAAGCGAAAGTAAACGTGGGGACATGGAATATCCGAACCATGTTTGAACCTACCAAGGCAGCCTAGATTGCAAACGAGATGAGGTGTCACATTGAAGTGCTTTGAATTTGCGAAAGCAGATGGAATGGGAGTGGACTCTCCAAACTGTCAACTGGAGAATCAATAATCTACTCCGATACCCTAACCCAGACGACAACCACGAGCACACTGAGTTATGGAGTGGCTACATTGATGTCCCCAAGAGCATCGAAGGCTCTCATGCAGTGGGAACCAATCTCCTCCTCCAGGATCATGACAGCAAGATTCAACTCAAAAGGAAGGAAGGAAGGTCACAATCATTCAATACTACGCTATGCACCTACAAATAATGCAGAGCAAGAGAGAAAGGAGGAATTCTACAGACAACTGCAATCAACACTTAACAAGACCTCAGTTGGCGATATCAAAATTCTAATGGGTGGTGTGACATGAATGCCAAACTGGGAGGGGACAACACAGGAAGAGAACTAACCATGGGTCGAGAGGCGCTAGGTGAAATGAATGAGAATGGAGAATTGTTTGCAGAATTCTGCGCATTCAACGATTTGGTAATTGGAGGCAGTGTGTTCAGGCACAAAGATATCCACAAAGCGACATGGATTTCACCAGATGGACACACTAAAAATCAAATCGACTATATCTCAATCTCAAGAAAATGGAGACGCAGTCAGCCTACTTGACACAAGGTCAAGAAGAGGAGCAGATGTAGGTTCACACCACTCACTATCTAGTGCAAGGAACCTTCCAAATTAAGTTGAAAGCCTTCAAGGAAGCTGGTTATAGACCACAGTTCAAGTTCAACACTCGGAAACTGAAGGACGAAACTACAGAGGACATCTTCACATAAGCCATCAAGACAAAATGGGAGATGTCGAGGAACATCTCTGAAGAAACCTGTGTGGATGAGCACTGGAAGTCTTTGAAAGATATGTGGAAAGAAACCTGCATAACCAAGCATATTAGGAAGGAAGAAGATAAGGAATGGATCCCGATGGACACATGGAAGCTGATAGAGGAGGGGAGGAGGGTGAAGCAGAAGACAAACCAGTGCTAGGATGAACGACGAGAAGAGGAACTGAGTACAATGTATAAAACACTAAACTGGACAAAGAAGTTAAGAAGAGTGCACGGAAAGACAAAAGACACTTCCACGACACACTGGCAAGTGAAGCAGAACAGGCTGCTGGTAGGAGAGATAGAGACCTGACAACATTGTATCAAATAACCAGGTTACTTACTATCTGGGAAGAGATCAATACACATGAAGCCAATAAAAGATGGATAAGGAAATTTAATTACGAAAGAAGAGAAACAAAGGAAACAATGGACTGACCACTTCAAAAAGCTCTTGAATCGAACACCACCTGCATGCAACTCGTCCAGAAATACCACCTGCACCCCAGCCACAGAACTACCAGTGAACACAAATCCTCCAACAAAAGTCGAAGTCCTGAACGTCATAAAGCTACTGAAGTGTGGGAAAGCAGCAGGACCAGATGGAATCCCACCACAAGCACTGAGAGCAGACGCAGAGACAACAGCGGACATGCTCACACCACTATTGCAGAAGGTCTGGAAGGAAGTGAAGGTATTTGCTGATTGATTGGAAGAAGGGTTACCTTGTCAAACTCCCGAAGCAGGGCGACCTAAGTCTTTGCAATAACTGGTGTGGAATCATGCTCCTGTCCACCCAGAGCAAGCAACATATTAAGCCGCATCATTCTGGAGAGACTAAAGGATGCACTGGATTCAAAACTACGACCCGAACAGGCTGGCTGGCTGGATTCAGGAAGTACAAATCATGTGCGGACCAAATTGCAACGCTACACTACGCATCATCATAGAGCAAAGTATGGAATGGCAGTCAACTCAACTCTACCTCAACTTCATCGACTTTGAGAAGGCCTTTGACAGTGTCGACAGACAAGTAATTTGGCAGTTGTTTCAACACTACGGAATACCACAAACCTTTATCAGCCTCATTCAACAACTATATGAAGACACCACATGCCAAGTAATTCACAATGGGAAGCTCAGTGATGCCTTTGCAGTGAAGTGCAGTGAAGACAGGAGTGAAACAAGGCTGTCTACTACCACCCATGATATTCCTGATTATGGTCGACTGTATTATTCAACAAACAGTGAGGGGCGAGAAGAAGGGGATACGCTGGGCTACGGAGAAGAACCTAGAAGACTTGGATTTCGCCAATGATGACTTGTGTCGAATGTCGCATAAACTTGAAGATCTACAGGCGAAAACTAACAAGTTGACAGAAGACGTGAGGCAGCGAAGACGGGACTTCAAGTGAATATAGAGAAGACAGAGATGATGAAGATACCCAACCAACACCACCACCAACAACAACAAGCTCCAATCACCATCAATGGGAGAAACTTAAAGGAAGTAGCCTCCTTCACCTACACCTATCTAGGCCGGTAGCATCATTTCAACTACAGGCGGCACAGGCACAGACGAGGACGTCAAAGTCAGAATCGGAAAAGCAAGACAGGCATTCATAAACATGAAACCAGTGTGGAGATGTTCTGCACTCAGCATAAAGCGTGAACAAGATCCGTATTTTCAACACGGACGTCAAATCAGTGCTTCTGTGTGATGGATGAGAGACTTGGCGCGTTACGAAAGGCATTTCCAATCAACTACAGACATTCATCAACAACTGCTTACGCTCGCTACTGAAGATCAGATGGCCAGAAAGAATAAGCAAGGAGGAACTCTGGAAACGATGGATGAGATGGATTGGGCATACACTGAGAAGGCCAACTGGAGGCATCACGCGTCAGACCAGTTACTCGAGTGGAACCCATATGGGAAGCGACGAGTTGGGTGTCCCAGCTGAGGGTGACATGGAGGAGATCGTGCGAGGAAGGAATGAGAGCTTGTGGGCTATCGTGGAACCGGGTTCAAGAAATTTCAGAGAACAGTGCACTGGAGACGTGCTACTGAAGCCCTATGTTCCATTAGGAACCCAAGCATAGCACAAATAATAATAATAATTTATTATTACTCTAGCATTTTTAGCATGTTATAAGTTGAAAATTTTATGATTATCATCCTACCATTGTTCACCCAATTCATTATTTTTTGTATCATTTAATAGCTTCCAAAAACATACTGTAACCTTGAAATGCATAATTTTGTTAATTTTCCTGCCACTTAACCTAAAGTTATCTTTAATCGTTATGACTGGTCACTCATTCTCAGTCATAGGCAAATCTTTATAAGACAGAATAAATCAGTTGTATAGAACGGATATTTACAAACTTCTTTCAGGATAGTATGACTATACAGTTATCCCTCAAACAACATATTAGACATTTAACTAAAAATGACAAGTGAACAAAACCTCATACATTTACTGAATTGTACACAAATATGAGGAATCAAAATGCATAAGGAAAAATTCTTGACTAAAAAACAAAACTTTTACTCACCTATTTTTAGCAACTGTTTCAATTAATTCAAGCTTTTCCAAATAATCGGAGAACAATCTGATAAAATTTTGAAAATCTTGAATACCTCCACCTTGAATTGAAATATGAGTAAGACTGCCACAGATTTTAAATAATGAAGTCAATCCGGATTCAATATTTTTAGATCTTGGATCAACTTTTGAACAGTTCAAATCATATAAAACACTTACATTCAATTTTTGTACTACATGTTTGCCGTCCAACTAATTTCTGTCTTGAAAAAAGGCGTAAATCCTTTGGTTCTACTCTATAACCACAGAGGTCTAAATTTTTCCATAAATATGAGCTGCGAGTTAATACATGAAATTTCTTGTTAATTCTGGGATGATGCCATTAGAAAGTGTAGTAATTATTATGATAGTGTACCTTGAAACACATCTTATAAGATCGATTTGTCGTAGGTAAGTGAGAATACGCAGTATCAATTCATCAGGGAGATCAAGTAAGGAAACATGACAATGATTGCCGTAATGCGAAAGACAATAATTTATGGATTACACACTACTTATATAGCTTAGCATTCAGTGATAACGTTATTACATACATCATGTACGTTTTACACCTTATACTTAGTATTACCCAAGTTGTTGCTCATTGGTCTAGGGACCTGACTTTCAATCTGCGGGTCACGGGTTTGAACACCGCTCCACCTATCGAGCTTTGGGCAGTCAGGTAATATCATCAGCCTTCATACAATAGCTGTGACTCATTGTCTACTGCACGAATGTGCACAAAGTTGTTGAGTGGATTGCAGATTACCCATGAGGAAAAGTTAAGACTCAGTTCAATCCAATGAGTAATACAGGCATACTTTACAACATTAAGAAACTAGGATGTAAACTAAAGTGAATCTAAAGGTCAACCAACTAGATGTTTTTATTTCATGAAAAAAAACTCCTTTTCCAATCAGAAGAAAGAAACCTATTCGGTTAGGTAGTCTTCAGAGTCACTCAAAATGTATCCTTAATATTTTGATTCATCGCAATACACTCAAATAATGCATGCTGAGTTATGTTATAAGAAGTGCAAGTGAGTCACAATTTAGATGTAGTGGTGAATATTCTAAGATTAGGATAATTTGACTTCGAGTCAAAGTTCTCGTCTGTAATATTTTATAATGGGTGATGACTGAAGGTGAGATGAAAACCTGAGTTGCAGCGAGAGTCAAACTAGCAGCCTGCAAGTTACAAGTACGGCCCTCTACCGACTTACTTGGCCAAGCCTTCACTTCAGTGAATATAACTCTCTCAATGATTCAGTATTTGGAGTGTGGCGAGATCTGGATGGGCAACTACCGTGATTACAGTGAACGGACAGTGATGTATCACGCAACCACACAGGAGTTCAACAAAATCCTAGATGGTTGTAGTGAAGTTATGATCTGGTCAACAGATGGGCTTTTCGGCCATCATCAGTGAAGCGCCGGGTTAATAACCTGGATGTCACTGGTTTGAATCTCGCCTCGAATCAAATTTCACTTCACCCTCAGCCATTACCCAGTATGCCGAACTACAACTTAAATATCCTCATTCATTAATAATACTGTATAAAAGCAAAACTAAGAGCGTAGTAAAAGTATTCAGATAATTTGTATTTCTTCTGACTTCTCATTGTTTAGAAATCAATAGTACATGCTAGTAAAACAAGACAGTATGATAGCTGAAGTATCATATATATATATATATATATATATATATAACAGATCAGAAAAACTTAACACTAGAAAAGAATATCAGAGCTGGATTTACAAGCAAATACCAATCCTCCGCCAAGTGTAGGGAAGTACTGACTGCACGTAGCATGAAAATGCCAAGTAAAGCTGCTTATAGTTTCAAGGTACTGTAGTGCACCTTCCTGGCACCAAAATATAACTAGGGCTAAAATAAATAGTTTAAATTAAATTAACTAAATAAATCTCTAGCTTGCCTCCGGATGCTTAGGGTGTTTTAAGTTTTGTTTTAACGAGCATGCATCCGAGCAGGCTTGGACGCCATTTTTGCGCTCCATTGTGCTGATCACCACGCACGTACTCCGAGTCCCTAGTTCAGCCTTACAAGCCAGATAAGTTGATTAAACTTTTCCCTCATTCATTATTATAACATTTACCTTAAATACATAGCTCCTTTAAATACATTGCGTATCAGTTCTTTTGATTTGTGTTTTGTTACCAGTACTTACACGTTAGGTAAAGTACTGGTTAAGCAGGTACTAGAGCACATCAAATTAAGTAGGGTTGATCAAACGTTACGGAATTGTAACACGCATCCCTACAAAAATTGGTGAGCCCGAGTATCACTTCTTATTTTGTCTAGTACCTTTGTTCTCTTGCGTTGATTTGTCTGGCCTATTTTGTTTTTGGCACGTCTAGCGTTTTTTTTATATTATTGCACTCCTCATTGGTTATTTTTGCATTGTAATTTTTTTATTATCACTATCGTGCCTCGTTAATTCCCTGATCAATGGCGGATAACGACTCGACTGCGCAGATGGCCATAACCCTCCAGCTTCCCACCTTCTGGGCCCACAGACCATCTGCATGGTTCTCCCATGTGGAAGCTCAGTTTGCCTTGAGACACATTCAATCACAAGAAACTAAGTCCAACTTAGTCATCGTCAGCTTACCGGAAAATGTGATTGAAGACGTGTCAGATGTGCTAGATGACCCAGCACCGAATCTTTACGATCGCCTCAAAACCGCCCTCATCAAACGTGTTGCACTTACTGACCAGCAGAAAGTGCAAGAACTTTTCAGGGATGTGCATCTGGGTGATCGCAAGCCGACGCAACTGCTTCGTCAGATGAAGCAGCTGATTGCTGACTTCAACATTGATGAAGCATTTCTCAAGCAACTGTGGTTACAGAGGTTACCACAGTCGGTTCAAGGGATCCTCGCACCCTTCCATAAGTGTCCCTTAATAGAGTTGGCGGAAGCGGCTGACAGAGCTGTGGATGCTACGAAACCCAACACTAGTATCTCAGCTGCACTGTCTACTGCCACGGATTCGTTCAAAACCCACATCCTCCTCTGGCTGTTGAGCCAACAAGTTTCGATGTTATAGCTCACATCTCAAAATTGTATGAAGAGTTGTGCAGCATCAGGAACGAAATGCGGTCTGGTAGTTCTTACAAAGGTCGCACGTCTCGCTCGCGCAACAGGTCTGCCTCCCGTACCGATAGCAGACGTTCCAAATCGCGACAATCCCAACCCAGGTTGTGCTGGTACCATAAACGTTATGGTGCCAATGCCAAAAAGTGCACTCGACCTTGCACCTTCGAGGCTAACCAGGCGGGAAACGTGTGAGCCAGCACGTGACGGCGACTAACGTCGCTGGCGAGCCACTTCCATGTCGCCTCTTCTTCGTCACTGATCGACATTCTGGGATACGCTTCCTAGTTGACACTGGGGCAGAAGCTAGCGTCATCCCACCTACGAAGGAAGAGCGTCTGCGGCCAATGTCTCTGCAACTTCGTGCCGCCAACGGTTCGCCCATCACAACCTATGGTCGGAGATTCCTCGATCTCAACCTTGGATTGCGTCGTCCCTTTCGTTGGGTTTTCATAGTGGCAGATGTGACCACCGGCATTATTGGTATGGATCTCTTGCAGCACTATCAGCTGCTGGTAGATGCTGGCAAGCATAAGTTGATAGATTCTACCACAACACTCTCTGTTTCCGGTATAGTCACAAAGACGCCGCCCCTCAGTCCCGTGTACTGCACGACGGACGCTTCTAGTCCCTACGCGTCTATCATTCAGTCCTTTCCGGATGTCTTTAAGCCAAGTCGTTGTGTCCCTTGTGTGACTTCGAACGTTTCTCATCACATAACGACGACTGGCCCTCCAGTATTTGCGAAACCACGGCGATTATCCCCGGAGAAACTGCGTGCTGTAAAAGCCGAGTTCGAACACATGCTTGAAATGGGAATAATCAGACCATCCAACAGTCCATGGTCTTCACCCTTGCATGTGGTACCCAAGAACAATGGCATGGACTGGAGGCCTTGTGGTGACTACCGAAGGCTCAACGCTAAAACGATTCCAGATCGTTACCCAGTCCCTCACATTCACGACTTGACTGCATCTTTAAAAGGCTCGGTTATCTTCAGTAAGCTTGACTTGACGCGTGCATATCATCAGATCCCGGTTCATCCTGATGATGTTCCCAAGACAGCCGTCATTACACCGTTTGGTCTTTTTGAGTTCCTCCGTATGCCTTTTGGTCTTCGCAATGCAGCACAAACCTTCCAACGTTTTATTCACGATGTTTTACGTGGACTCGATTTCGCCTATGCCTACCTAGACGATATACTAATCGCTAGTCCAGACGAAGACACTCATTTTAACCACTTGAAACAGGTTTTCGCCAGACTGTCAGAGCATTCGATGACAGTCAACCTGGCCAAATGCCAAATTGGCGTTCGTTCACTAAAATTTTTGGGACACGTTATCGACGAGCAAGGCATTCGCCCACTACCTGAAAAGGTACAGGCGATCCAAGACTTCCCAGTCCCAGCGTCACTTAAAGCTCTGCGTGTGTTTTTGGGTATGGTGAGCTATTATCGTCGCTTCATTCCCCAATGTGCACACATTTTGACTGCACTGACCGACCTGCTGAAAAGTAAATGTAAAACTTTCAGCTTGACTCCTGAGGCACTAGAAGCATTTCGCAAGATCAAAACCGCAATAGCAGACGCCACGATGCTGGTGCATCAAGACGTAAACCTACCTCTTAGCATTGCGGTTGACGCCTCTAACACGGCCATTGGAGCTGTGTTGCAACAACTTTCGGATCACACTTGGATCCCAGTTGCATTCTTCTCCGGAAGTTATCCACCTGCGAAATGCGGTACAGCACTTTCGGCAGGGAACTGCTCGCCATATATGCCTCAGTGAAACATTTTCGTCATTTTGTGGAAGGTCGTGACTTCATCATCTTTACCGACCATAAACCTCTGACGTATGCCTTACACACCACTACTGACAGATATTCACCGCGTGAATTACGTCACCTAGATTATATTTCGCAATTCACGTCGGACATCCGTCATATTTCTGGTGTGAATAACCCTGTCGCGGACGCACTGTCTCGCGTTTGCACCACTACTTTGCCTCGAGCAGTCGACTTACGGAAGATTGCCGAACTTCAGGATTCAGACGAGGAGATTGGAAAACTTCAACACTCATCCTCTCTGAAGATACAGCGTTACCGCTCCTGAACAGTGAAGTGTCAATATTGTGCGACACCTCCACAGGCACACCCAGACCCTTGCCGCCGGACTCCCTAACAGACTCGTTTAGTCGCGCGTATCCTGAACCTTCTAAAAGAGCCACGTCTAGTAACACTGATCCAGTAACCTCTACACGTGCTGGGAGGCGTGTACATTGGCCCAAGCGATACGCCGAGTTCGTTAATTAGCCCCAGAGCAACTTCACACTTGGTGAATTCGGAGTTTCAACTACTTTGTCGTGGCATACACTTTCAATGCGTTTTCATACCTAAAGTTTTCAAAAGTCATGTTTACTACTTTGCAAACAGTTTTTTTTTCCAAAAAAAAAAAGAAAAACCAAAAATACAATTTAAATTCCGAAAACTTTTTTTGGTTGGTTATTATTTTTTTTTCTGTACTACTCCCACTTCGAATTGTTTGGTTTTCCTTTTCTTAGCACTCTAATGTCCCATTTCTTTCTTCTTGCAGAACCTAGAAAATGCGTTGAAAATTGGATACAATTGGCCGCTGACGATGCTACTTGGATCGTTCTTCGGTTCTCTTTGTACCAATTTCCCCCTGTACACTCCCCGGTAGATTAAGAAGCAATAGGGAAAAGTAGACGGAGGCTTTGGGTCACCTTCCACCACTGCGAGAAGGGTTGCGTCTAGACGCAAAGTTATCTTACCTCGTAGGTGTGCATAGTTGCACTAGCTTCGGAGACCCACACGTCACCTACTCCATCACCAATATGGAAAGGTGTTGCGTGTCCGCCTCGCAGTCGCCTCCTAGGATCGAAGGTTGCCGGTATCCCAACAACCTTCTAGGAGGGGGATAACCTGTAGTGCACCTTCCTGGCACCAAAATATAACTAGGGCTAAAATAAATAGTTTAAATTAAATTAACTAAATAAATCTCTAGCTTGCCTCCGGATGCTTAGGGTGTTTTAAGTTTTGTTTTAACGAGCATGCATCCGAGCAGGCTTGGACGCCATTTTTGCGCTCCATTGTGCTGATCACCACGCACGTACTCCGAGTCCCTAGTTCAGCCTTACAAGCCAGATAAGTTGATTAAACTTTTCCCTCATTCATTATTATAACATTTACCTTAAATACATAGCTCCTTTAAATACATTGCGTATCAGTTCTTTTGATTTGTGTTTTGTTACCAGTACTTACACGTTAGGTAAAGTACTGGTTAAGCAGGTACTAGAGCACATCAAATTAAGTAGGGTTGATCAAACGTTACGGAATTGTAACACGCATCCCTACAGTACTTTGCACTCATAAGCATAGAATTCTTCGTACATATATTCTCGAAGATAGAGAAAATGATGAGTCCCTAACGCGAAAATTGAGAGCTGTGGTTCATTGGTCTAAGCAGTCAATCAGTAGCAACGTGGGACTTGGCACTCCCGAGTAGCAGTTTATATTGCCACACCCCATATCAGCACATCAAGCGATAATAAGGAAGAGCGGTTGGAACCGGCAGGATGTCATGTAAACAGAAGAATGAATGAAATAGTAATGAAATTCCACATCACGATTACGATGAAGACAATGTGTGATATATCTGCTCCACTGAGATTGATTCTGAAACCTATCACTTAGATTCTCCAAACAGTGGTGCCCGTTGCCACGTGGATGCTGACCAGAAAGTGTAAATTAACCCATAAGGCTCAGATCGATAGTCAAAAACTTTATTGACTAATGCTGTTTTACACTGGCAGTCTCTAGACCTCCAAAATGTACTTCAGACATTTTATCATAAGGCAGACAGCGACTAGACATGCGGCTTAAACTCAACGCCACACTTTTTTTGAGTTGAATCAATCAGTTGGTGACCTTTCCTACCAATGGGTCTCTTGTGTACGTGTAGCATGTATGCTATTAAAATAGGGATACATAGAATAAAAGGATTTTGCTGTCCTTGGAACGACTAATCAGAAGCGAGTGGGTTACTGTTTGATTTTTGATAACCAGAGGCACGTTATTATTTTCCTAATTATAAGTACAATAATACAGAATTCGCTTTTATACATGGTTTTAGGGTACGAAATGATGATTCTCCTGATGGTTTAGCAATTACAATTCTAGGTGTTCGAAAAAATCAACGAATCAGAGTTAGAGGACGTAAACGAATAGGTTAGGGATTTGGATATTACGTATTAACCTCTTTTTAATGACTTGTAAATCAAGTCATCAAGCACGAATAGGGGACTCACTAGCTATTTGCTTGCTCGGCGAATGTGCACGGTTTGAACTTGGGATAGAGGTGTATTTATGCATGGAGAAAATGTGAGTGGAATACAACAATATATCCCTGGTTTCCCATGTCTTCCCTTCTATTATGCCACCTTCAAACCACAAATAACAAATTTCCAAAGCTTCTATCACCCCATTTAACCAGGCATCTCAGGTTTTAATCGAAACGAGTGAAAAGACAAGTATATGTAAATCAATGAAAATACAAAGCCAAAGGTTAAACTGACATTTAGTCATATATCAGTCGACCTGAAAAAAAAAGACGTGCATTTACAGAGATGTGATACTTTTACAGCAACAAATTATAAATGGGTGATGGTGAATTATGAATGTAGCTACCGGCAACAAAATGACTTGTCTCTGAACTTGTAAGGATGCTGATGCCTTTTCTGATAAGTTTCTCCTGGCAAAAAAGGTAGACGTCTTACGCTTCAGTTAGTTCTTTAACGAAAACATACCCGAATAAAGGGCCTTAGAGTACCTACATTACATATTGACGTTATTATAGCTCTAGTTCATAAATCACCAACACAAACGAATGTCACTTCTTCGAGGGGTAAAACTCGTACCTAAAAGCACTTTCTAACACAACGCAGTTGTTTTTAGTTCCAATGAACAATGTCGGGTAACCGAATGGATATACTGTTTTATGGAAGTTATTTGCAAAACATGTACATCCTTTATAGTAATGATGGGTAGTGGCCAGCAGTGGAATCCAGGATGCGCATTTCATCCTATTTTGGAATCGTCAGCTGGGTGTACCTGCCTCGGTACCTACCCCCGATAATACGTGTACATTCTTTACCGAAAAAAACATTCTTGAAGTCAAGATCTAAATGAACCAGATGCAATCGGGCATTAGTGCAGATGATAGATGTCACTAATTTAATGTTATCGTTTTATCATAAAACGGCATGGATTTTATGTTATGACATGCAATTAACTTTCTTTTAAAGACGGTGAACACCTTAATCATTAGGAATAGTTTCCACCCAGACTTATCACAGACGCATGTAGACAGTTTTAATGATTGCCTATCCCAAAGTCAACTATACCGGGTTGTAAACCTAACCCAATGTAATACACCTACAATAAACTATCACAATTGATAGGAATTTATACATCTAATTTGCAGAATATGTATTGGGCAGCCACAATGATATCATTATAAGACAGATTAGCAAAATCAACGCAGATCCGAACACACAAGTTGCCACACGTCACAGTAGTAAACAAAGAAAAGCGGGTAGAAAAATACTGATATCAAGGTACAAAAAGGTGCATGGGAAAAGGAACTTAAAAATGAAGCTTAGGTGAAACATTTAAGCTATAGACGTCAAAAAGTGAATAAACCTGCACCATTCTGACCGTTTTTCAATCATTTCGCCAAGAGTCCTCACCACTGATTCCTATCGTCTCAGTGACCCCATTCAGATGGTCTATGCCTCCCTACACAGCTGAGATCAGCTAGAGGTTGACAACCTCATCGACCGATATGCCTGTCTTATCTAATAAATTTCACTTAACCTCGACTCTGCTAACATGGTGATTACAGCAAATGCCAGCAATACTACGAAGATATATATGGTTGAAATCCTATAGTCTATTCGTGTCTACTGTTAACGGTCATGTTTCAGCTTAATACGAGAGAGAGCAGTGAAATGCAGCACACCCCTCGTTTGACGGATAGTCGAATATCTCACCGATGGCGGTGATAAGGTAAGTTGACTAGTATTGAACGTGACTCTTATGTTCAAAAGGAAGCTTCCTTATTAACCAAACCGATGCAATTACTCAACTAAATAAAACTAACGACGTTTTCTGCTTTACCCATTGTCGCCAAACTGCAGTGCCCATGGGAACAGCTGCAGACCAGTTTTGAAGCGTTATTTGATTGACGTCAAACACATAACAGATCTGAAACCTGCCCAATAATCTCACAAATGTTATTTCTGTGTCCCGGTTGGGTGTCGGGTTACCACGGCCCAAGGATATTCAACGAATCAGACTAATTTTCCGAGAACGGGGCCATAGTTGCCAGAATGCTTTTTTCCTTTTCTATAGACTGAAGCCAATAAAGTAGACCAGTTTGATTGAACTACCTCCGATTTCAGGGAAAATTTAGACTGTTGAAACACGAGAGGTATACATAGAGAACAGCTGTATCGTGAGTACTGAGAAAAAAAGGCTTATGTTTTACAAAAATGACGTGAGTAATGCGTGCAATCAGTACGAAAAAGCTGTATTTCCACATGCATACAGAAATAAAATGGTAGAAGCAGAAGCTCAGTGAGGATTGTGGTGAACGCTAGCAGCAAGTAACATATATGTTACTGTTTCAGTATTGGATACATTTATATGTAACTAATACCAAAATAGTCAATGTTCAACAAATTTCACCAATCATAACCCAAAACACTTGGAGACATGAGTTTGCACTTAGTCAGGGTCGTGAATTAAACAGAACTGCAGTAAGACCCTTACTTCAGGTTCATGGGTGCCAGTCGCCGGACGCGATTCTCACCTGCAAAATGTAATATCAAATTTCGCGCGAGCGTCAACTGTCATTGTTCTGATTGGCCAGTTCTATTTGGTACTCAGAAAAGCCGAGGCGCTAGTTTCACACTATAGAGAAGCATGTGCATGACAACCTGCATTACTAAAGGAGTGTAGCGTAACACACTTCCCCAAAATCAATAGACTAGGGTTTGACGACTTCGACATTGATGTTGACCTTGATAGTTTAACTGGAATCGCTAAGCTGAAGGCACCCGGTCAAGCATTCCCGCCATTTGGCACGCCGTCGCGTTACATTGCACTGCTCGCATTCGACTCTCCAGACGGTTAGTTGGAATGCATCGGTGTCCTGGCACAACCACCCAAACATACTATTCCATCCGACTACGTTATCGTGTTCTTCCTTGGTCTCGTACTCGTAGGTGTATAACAGGTCCGAGTAATAAGTGATTGGTCTTTAGGTCTATCGAGTTCGCACCAGGACAAATCCTGAATTGGTGAGCCCGACATGATCACATATCCCGACTAGTAACAGATATTGAATTGGTGAGCCTGTTCCATTTCATATTTGTTTATTGTTTTCATTTTGATAACATTTATGTATCCATTTACTACACTTTCTCATGTCTGACCACACCCCCAAACCTATTCATATTAAGCCGACTGGTGCCATATTAGCCAGACAATGCAGAAACATGGTTACTGTGTACCGAGGCAGATTTTCGAGAACAGGACGTCTCAGATCCTCATTCTCGATTTCTTGTCGTCATACGTTCACCACCGCGGGAATTAAAAAGGTATTTTACGGCACACATGCTTAATCCTGAAGTAAGTGATCCTTATGCACTTCCCAAAGAGGCACTCATAGATCGCCAGCGCCTAGACGAATTGCTTCGTAACATCGAGCTGGGCAACCACTCAGCTACTGAAGTCCTCGCACGCATACGAGAAGTTATCGGCGCACGAACATTCGACAGTGGCCTCTTCCGAGAACTATTTCTGTCAAAACTACCACAACCGGCACAAATGAGTTGGTGACACTGCAGTCAGTCCCACTCGGCAGATGAAATACTGGAGATATCTAGCGGATCCGTCTCCAACGTATATTCTGTCTGCGACAAACCAGAGAGCCAGGACCAAGTTGTGCAACCCTGTTAAACAGTTGCTAGGATCTCGAAGTCCTAGATTACGTGGAACTCCACAGAAACGCGTTTTAGCGCATGGCAGCAACTCGCCTGGTTGCCCCAAAACTAAACCTAACAGGGTGGAAAGCTTGAAATGGTGCTGGATTCATAACACTTACGGAGACGAAGCCATGAAGTGTCGGAATCCATGCAATTTTAACAGGGACACACACACACTCGGAAAACGGCCACGCCGACACGTGCTCACGGCAACCGTAGCCGGCGGAAACAGCCGTTTGCTCTACGTCACGGATATTGAAGAGAAAGTTTGCTACCTCATCGATACCGGCGCAGAAGTTAGCGTCCTTCTCGCACCGACAAAGGAGCGTCATCTTGACCCATCTTCCAATCTGCAAGCAGCCAACGGCAAGGCAATCACAACGTTTGGGAGATGGTATGCCTACCTCAACTTAGGTTTGCGTAAACCTGTCCACTGGATTTTCGTCCTGGCTGACGTCTTTATGCCCACCATTGGCACAGATTTGCTAAACCATTACGATCTACTCCGACTTTAGCCCTCATTAGAACCAAACAATCAGGCGACGCGCCCTACCAAGCAGTTTCGGAGAAATATCAAGAGTTGCGACAACCGAAGCACACTTCCTTGCGTAACCAGCAATTTTATGCATCACGTCACAAACACGGGTCCACCTGTGGCATCCAAAGCGCGCCGTCTAGCTCCCAATAAGCTCAAAGCGGCGAAGAGCGAATTCGACCACATGCTTGAACTGAGCATCATCAAACCGTCGAACAGCCCTTGGGCATCGCCACTGCACATGGTTCCCAAAAAGGATAGCAACGACTGGCGTCCAACCGGTGATTACCGAAGGCTTAATGCCAAAACGACTCCGGACTACTACCCGATACCTCACGTTTACGATTTGACTGCAACCTTATGCGGAATGAACTTTGCTCCAAAATCGATTTGGTCAAAGCGTACGATCAGATACCTAAGGCAGCAGAAGATATCGCGAAAACAGCCATCATTACTCCTTTTGGCCTGTTTGAATTCCTGCGCACACAATTTGGTCCTCGGAATGCAGCACAAACATTCCAACGCTTTATGGATGATGTCTTCCGCGGTTCGAATTTTGTTCATGTCCACATCGATGACTGTCTAATTGCGAGTCCAGATAAGGAAACTCACCTTAGACATTTGGACCTCGTATTTGAAAGACTTAAAATCATGGCATCACACTCAACTTGCAGAAGTGTGAAATAGGAGTTGAATCACTCGGCTTCCTTGGGCATATCATTGACAACAAAGGCATACGCCCATTGAGAGATAAAGTGGTGGCTATCATGAACTATCCAGAGCCGACCACTGTGAAACATCTCAGCACTTTCAATGGCCTGGTAAGTTATTACCGAAGGTTTATCCCTAACTGTGCCTCTGTCATGAGACCACCAACATATCTACTTCCAGGGACTACGAAGTTCGTGGCTCTGGACAACGTGGCTAGACTTGCTTTCTCTAAAGTCAAGGAAGCCATCACAAACACAACCATACTCATGCATCACAACCCCAATGCTCCTTTGAGTATTGCTGTTGATGCATCTGACTCAGCAATTGGAGCAGTTTTGCAACAGTTGACTGACAACCAGTGGCAACCATTAGCCTTTTTCTCGAGGCGGCTGCAAGACGTGGAAACGAGATGTAGTACATTTGGTAGGGAACTCCTAGCTATGTACTGTTCTGTAGGCCACCTTCGACATTCTGTGGAAGGTCGTGATTTCATTATTTTCACAGACCACAAAGAGTTAACCTGTTCCCTCAGCTCGACGTCTGACAAATACTCCCCGCGTGAGTCACGACAGCTTGACTACATTTCCCAGTTCACAACAGACACCCACCACATTTCTGGGGCAAATAACTCCGTAGCCGATGCACTATCACGAATAGCTTCGGTAAACCATGTCGAGGGTGTTGATCTCGTTAAACTAGCTCGGCGTCGAAAGGAGGACCTTGAGCTGTATCATGAGTTGTCATTCACGACTCTCAAGCTGCGACTTTGTCCGGCTGGATCAGACAAGGATACAATTTTGTGCGATGTCCCTGCTAGTCAACCACGCCCGATAATTTCGAAGAGTTGTCGACGCAACGTCTTCAATCCGTTGCACAAACTCTCTCATCCAGGTGTACTAGCCACCACTGGGTTTATTGCACAACGTTTCTGCTGGCCTGGGATGAACAAAGACGTTAGGGAGTGGGCTCAGTCGTGCTTAGCTTGTCGAAAGTGCAAAGCCACGCGACACACGAAAGCCCTTCAGGCTCCTTCCTAGCCCCGGATATGCCTTTCGACCACGTCCATATAGATATCTTAGGACCCCTACCAGAATCAAGTGGATGCACCTACCTTTTCACTTATGCCGATCGTTTCACATGATGGCTTCCCTTTCAGCTGCAAACGTACCTCAGTGGACCGAGGCTCTGCCTCAAGCCCTACTAGGTATTCGTAGCACCTTGAAGGTTGATGCTGGGTGTACACCTGCAGAACTCGTCTGTGGGACCACTCTTTGCCCACCAGGTGAGTTCGTTTCTCCTTCAACTGTCAAAAATCTTTCCGACAAGGCATCTTACGCGACCTGGCTTACAAACGCAATGCATTCAGTTAGGCCTTCTCCGGTAAGACCTAAAACGACTGATGTCTTCGTTCACCCCAGCTTTCAAAAGACATCACACGTGTTTGTTCGCCACGACGACGTTCGTCGACCACTTGAACCACCCTACGACGGGCCATTCAAGGTGATCAAGCGACACGAGAAATTCCATATAATTGAGCGAGACGGAAGTGAAGATACTGTCAGTGTAGACCGTTTGAAACCAGCTTATTTCGAAGGCAACTCCAATATAAGTGACGTTTCAGCTCGCTACAGCCGACTGACGGATAGCTCAATTATCGAAATTCTTGACGATGTGCCTGGTAATGCACAGCTGCAACAACCATCGGCGCAAGAGGAAACACGACCGGGTCGAATTGTCAGGTTCTCAGAATACTTGAAGTCGTATTCAACTTAGTGGTGTGAAATAAGATGTGCCAACCATATTTTTTAATTCAAATTTTTTCGAGGCACTGCTTTTCTCATTTACCAGCAATGCGAAACTCCTCGTACATTTCGCCTTTTTATATCAATTTTTATTACCATGTAATGAAACTTTTTTAAAAACGGTGAAAATAAGTGTAAACTTTATTTTCGATATATTTGTACATACATAATTCCCATTTTTACTAGGCGTTTTCACGGCATTAAAGACTTTTATTTATATTTCAGGTGCAACGGGCACTGGGCGGAACGTCGAAAAGAACTAAGGACCAAGATCGACGCACAATTCGATTTGGTGTACCTTATTTTTTGATTGCCAAGACGCCCTGGAATAAGTTCAGACAACCAGGGGCCACTTCACGCAGTGAGCCCATCAGAAGAGTTTTACCGGTGGAGAAATCATTGGGTTTTTACTTCCGGCGGGTATCGTCTTAGGATTCTCAAAAAACCCGCTGGGGGGAACGATCAGTAGCGTCACGCGCTTCCTCAAAATCAACAGCCTACGGTTCGACGACATTCAACATTGATGCTGACCTTGATAGTTTAACTGGAATCGCTAAGCTGAAGGCACCCGGTCAAGCATTCCCGCCATTTGGCACGCCGTCGCGTTACATTGCACTGCTCGCATTCGACTCTCCAGACGGTTAGTTGGAATGCATCGGTGTCCTGGCACAAACACCAACATACTATTCCATCCGACTACGTTATCGTGTTCTTCCTTGGTCTCGTACTCGTAGGTGTATAACAGG